GTTTGTTGAGCTGAAAATAGTCAATTCCAACTTCTCGATGTAATGAAAGACAAATTTTGTAAGGGAAATTTACATTTAATTATTCCTTTTATTCAGACTTATACCCCAATTTGGGAAAAATGAATTTGTCTTTGAAACTTTTAAAGTCACTTGTGAGAAGTTGTGAATTCGAACAAAAGTGTATTTCTGTCACACAATTCAATGGGGATCGAGAGAGTATTTTTGGCACGCAATTCACTAGGGAATGAAAGTTTTGAGAAACAATTACATTGTAAAATAAGTATAAAATTGATGCAAATACCGGTAACATATAAAAATAAAGTATAATAATATATACAGGGTAATTTATTAGTGTGAGATAGCTCACTAGATCTGTTATATTAGATGACACAAAAAAATAAAAAAAAATTGTAGATAGCATTAAATCTTTGTATTTTAAAATAAGTTATAGTCTTACATGATCTTTTATAACGGCGTGCTAGATCCAACTTATATATTTTTTTAAATATCGATGGTTGAAAACCAAAAATTTCCAAGCGTCATTTAAAGAACTTTACACTAGAGCCATTTAAAGTTTTAAATTTTGGAAAATAATTCATAAAAACTTACTTAGTGGATTTATTTTTATAATTTCAACGAATTTGAATTACAGTCTAGATAAGGGCTTCTTAATCTGTGGGTCGCGACCCCCAGGGGAGTCGCGAGACTACTGAAAGGGGGTCGCAAAGATCTGATACTTTTCAATCATTATAAATAAAATTTTAAAATTAGTATACACACTACGTACAAATATAAATACAAATAAAAATCATACAAAATACTATTGTAGTTTTATTATAACTATTTTTTGAAAAAAGTGGCAGTGCAAAACTGTTATGTAGGGCCTATAAATGAAAATATGGAAGTAGCATGTAAAATAATAAATACAACGCGCTCCTCGATTTTCAACTGAACGTTCGACATTGATGTCTGGCCGCCGGCGACAGTGTTTGCAAGATAACTTAGTGATTATAAGTACCCAGACGCCGCATCGCCTTACAGCTTACACATACAATACGGAAGCATATTCAAGCTAGGCTGGGCGAATCGCCAAATCATTTTTATAAAAGAATAATAAAAAAAAATTAAATGAAAGCTTCTTTTTCGGCGTCTTTGTAATACGATGCCTTTGTGCGCTGCACACTTTTAACACGTCATGCGTCGGGGTTGATCTGATCGTAATTTGTTGTCATTGGACTGGTAAAGATTCGAGTGTAGTTATTTTTCTGTTTGTACTTCAGTTTGGACTCAGCTTTGTCTTCGTAGTGACATGTGTGTATTTACTGTGTAATTTTCAGATGGTGTTTTTAATTATTACGTTAAAGTTCAACTATATTTTGTTTAATTATTTATTAATATTTAACCATCATGGATAAATGGCTAATTAAAATTCCAACTAATAAGTCTATCACGCCGTTACAACCAAGTTGCAGTGCTTCAAATCCGACTTCTAGCAAAACGGTCGATTTGATGTTAGTTTTAAATGGTTGAGTATTTATTTGGAGTAATAGTATTCTATCCGAAACTGGTACGAAATTGGTCACATATTTACCCAGTTCTGATGTTACTAATATACCTACACTATTTTTGTGATGCGGGTCTTCTGTGCTGTTACCGGAATAATATAATACACTTACGTCTTTTTTATATCTATACGTCCCTTTTTACATGTCTATACGTCCTTTTTACATGATCCTGACTCTGGCCATCTCATTTCGCTGATTCCCAGTAGGTCTATTTTCATTCTATTCATTTCTTGAATTGCGTTGTCAAGTTTTCTTTTAGACTCATATTTTCTAATTTTATGTACTTCTATCTTGAGTCTTTTTATTAAAAATGAACTTAGTTCTATTACGAATTATTTTCAAGCTCTGAGCTGTTATAAGAAATTATGTTATATAAGCAAACACGTGTTCCAGTTTCTTCTTATTAAAAAGTAATAAAAACTAATATCCTCTGTTGCAAAATTTAAACTAGATAAAAGACGTAAAACATAACACATTTATATAACCTTTTCGTATTCTATATTGTGTTTTTTGGCGATTCAGTTCAAGCAGCTAAATAATTACAGCAAGTACCGCAACTGTCACTGCGCTGATTTACCCAACACGTAAGAAAATACAATAATAGCATTTTTCACGATTCGTTAAATTGTTTGCTTCCTATCAGTTTCGCTTATTAATTTCCTAAGTAAATACCAAATTGGTGCGAGGTTATAAAATTTACACGGCGCTTTGAAAGCGACGACAGATTTTGTGCGGCAACGAACGTGATAGTGTCCATCAAAAGGTTTGTGCGCTTCCAAAAATTATATTAGTGATGTGTTTTTTAACGTCCTTTATCTAGTACCTTATTTAGTATTCTCAAAGCAGTAACTTTATCAGTTTATTTTTAATTTTGAAAATTTATGGTTTGAATTAATTAAAACTCGAAATAATTTTGAAGGTTTTTTATAATTGAAATTTTATTAATTACTATTTAACTGGGAATAAGCCACAATTAAAGATAAAAATACGTTTATTGACGTTTCAATTTCCACTTCGGAAATCGTTCTCAAAGTACAAAACATTTTTCGGTTTTGTATTTTGAGAACGATTTCCGAAGTGGAAATTGAAACGTCAATAAACGTATTTTTATCTTTAATTGTGGCTTATTCCCAGTTAAATAGTAAGTAATTTAAAATGCCACAAGAAAATAGCTTCAGAACAATAAGATATTTTATTTTTTGGTATTTAACCCTTTGAAACCCAATTTTTTGTGTTGTTGCGATCTCGACTTTAATTATTTCTTTGTACTGGTAACCATAGAAGGTTTTTAAAGTGTACCAAACCAAATTTTTACATAAAAAAACAAATAAATAGTGGAATATATATGTCCCAATGGGAATGTTGGTTGGGATTATTATATCTCGTGGGGTATATTGGGAGATTACGGTCACAAATGAATGAACACTTTATTTCAGACAGATTTACAAAAATATGAATCGCACATTGTGCAGATGGTTGTGGTTCTTCGTTTTTTACCCATTCTTGAACAATTAACACAACGCCGTCTCTTAGTAAAATAGTTTCAATCGGCATGTGGTCTCCTACATTTTTATTTCGTGATCTCTTTGAAGGTCTACCTACACTTCTTTTTCTAAGTTTTACTTGTGTAGTGGTTTTACTTTTAGAAATGAGATCTTCTGATAGCTCAAACAAGGGTGTTTTCTTGCGTGTTCGATGTAAATCATTATACAGTGATGAGTGCTTTACCACCCGGCTTTTTAACGTAAGAGATAGAAAACACAGTTACCTTGTAAAATAAAAAGAGATGAAACTCGTAGAGGTGGGAAATAATCGATAGAAACCTATAATTAACATTACATTGCATTACCACCATCGATAGTCTCACACCTTTAGTCGTTAGACGTGGCTATTTGACTACAGTCATAATTATACGGATGACTTGATTGAATAAATTAAGATATATTATAGTAAAAAACAATAATTAGTAACGATTTTAAATTATAAATCTTTAGGTTTATTTAAGTAATAAAAAAATAACTAAACTGAAATATTTGACTAAACTAAAGGTAGGTATGTTCTGTCCGAAAGCAATATGTGAAGTTGGTGGAATGCTTAGACACGTGGTCTATTGACAAGAAGGTTGAGGTTCAATTCACACCTAGGATAAAATTTTTGTTTTACTCGATCAAAAAATGATAAAAATGATGATACATATTAGGTAACAAGTTTTTGACAAACTCATTATTTACAATTTATTCTTATTTCAATGTTATAAAACGGAAATACAAAATAATTTTGTTTATGATTGAAATGACTGTTTTATATCAAATCTATTACTAAATTCTAAGTGTAATACCAATTCCTCTGTACAGGTAATGATTTTCAAAACAATTGACAACACTGGAATGGATGCGCGCGAAGCGAAGCCTTTAAGCCATCAAATAATAACATATCGAGAAGTGTTTTTGCATGGTAAACACAAACTTTTTATTGAAAAAACAATTCGTGAAAATGGTTTTAACGGTCGAGGAAAAAGTGCAAATTGTTGTCTGGCATGTGAATGGATTCTCAGACAACATGATTAGACAACAATATTTCCAAATAGGCCGGCTCCATCACGATCAACAATTCAATCTATTATACGTAATTTTTTTACTTATGGATCCTATGGATTTACCTTTACCATAGGCTTAACAAAAAAAATATAAAAATTGTGGGTATTCCCAAAAACCCTTCCATGAAGGCAGCAAATCCCCTTGAATATCCACACCGTTCGTACTAGTCCAGATCCCACATGGAACAACAGCAAAAAAACAAAATGCCGTTTTTAAACTAGCCCGAACTTTTCAGTACCACGGTCAAACCTAAAATCACTTCCTTTCCGTCGTCTTCCCGAACACTTGACAACTTGGCACACGGAAATCACCGAATAATACCAAGATTTAAACATTTAAATTTTGGGATCTAAATTCTTCCAAGAGAAAGAACAATCTAAATTAGTTTCTTCACAAAAAGAGGACATTTTCCCTTAACTCAGCACAATTTGACACACATTACCCCTATTTAAAAACCACTAATTTTAATTTCGCCACCATGCTTATAATATATTATAGGCAACCGATCTTACACGTCTAGAATTATTTAAATTTTGAAAATAGAGGTGGGACTTTCTAGTTTAAATTTGAAACGTAACATGTGGGAGCGTAGCAGGGGAAGAAGCTGTTAACTGTGTCTCTCGTTTTTTTATGGATTTCGAAGTTTCTTCTTTTTTAATTTGTACGTATTTTTTGTTTAAACAATTTTTTTTCAGTTTTATATTTTTTTAAAAGTTTTTAAACTAACTAACTTTGATTATTTATTTTCTATTGCAATACTTATTTATAGCCAAAAAACAATAAACGTAATTACCTAGTGGCTATAAAATCGGTTATTAACTATTTTTTTTAATTTTAGTATTGAAATGGTCTTACTTTTTGTACTTATCTGGCCGTTGATCGTTTCTACAGTAAATGGTGGATGGTTTGACGGATTTTTCCGAAAACGCGAAATCGAGCAAGAAGTTTCAAATGCATTAGAAGACAACAGGAATGCAAGATGTAAGTTTTTATTGTCAAAAAGAGACATCATAACACTGTATAGTTTTTTAGGTCCTATAAAAAATGTTTAGAACATAATGTTTTTAATTTTTATAAAAAAGCAGACTATTTAATTAATAAAATTACTTTTATGACTTCACCAATACTACTACTTGTCAGTTTATAACGTTCTCCGCCGGTTTACGACTTCCAATCGCCACATAGTCCGGTTGTTCCATAGGTCTTTTACTATGGCCCTCTTTCTCAGTTCTATATTTATTCCTTCGCTCCAACTTTTTCTCGTTCTACCTCGTTTTCTCTTTCCTTCTGGTTGCTATTTAAACATTCCTTTTGGTATTCATTGTTCATCCATTCTTTGTATGTGTCCGAACCAGATAAGTTGTTTTGTTGTTAGGTCATCTATGATAGTTTGTTTGATTCCCATTATTTCTCTAATGCGTTTGTTGGTAATCTTTTCTCTTCTAGATCTTCCTGCGGCTTTTCTCCAAATTCAGTGAAGCCAGTGTCCTTTCTTTCAGTGACCAAACATCAGAGATGTAAAAACTGCTACTTTTTACTATAGTCTCATATATCCTCTTTGTATTTTCTTTGCTGATGGATTGGTCCATAAAATGCTGTTTAGCAATATGATGGCTTTTCTCCCTTACGCATTTCCCTCTCTTATGGCTTTGTCTAATGTTCTATCTTGTGAAATAGCGATAACTAGATATTTGTAGTCACAGTAGTGCTTTATCTTGGTGGTATCGTCTAATATGAGATCTTTTTGTTCTATTCCAATGCACAGGTATTCGGTTTTCTTTTTATTTACTTCTGGACCCCATATATCATACTCTTCAATTAATTTGCGTGCCAGGTAGTTTAAATCGTGATAATCTTAAACCATTATTACTTGTCTGCAAAGTTGAGCATACCATAGTGTTGGTGAGCGGTATTTTCCTGCATTTTTATTTCCATCTTCTTAAAGCACTTTCGAGGTCTATTTTAAATAAAATGGGGGACAGACAACATCCTTGATTTAATCCTTTTAATGTTATACTTAGATCCTGTTTTTATTTATGTGCCTGCTTTTATTTTTGTTATTGGTTGGTTGTATAACACTTTGGTGGCTTTTATTAATTGGACATTAATATTCGTGCTTTCCATTGATTGCCACAGCTTCTTCAGTGGAACGCTATTGTAAGCTTTCCGTACGTCGACGAACAACATACGAATCTCGTTTTAATATTACGTTTTGCTCAGTTGCTCCTCAATAACTATTACTGAAACATTACATATAAACCTTTTTTGGAACACAAATAAAGCATGTTCTTATTTACTTTTCACTATATTTTCCACATTATTGTCTCTTTATTTACTTTTGAAAAGAGTTACTAAAATTACGCCCTTGTATGTTTTTCAGTTCTATCATTATTTACTTACGTGCAGTTGCTAAATCCAGAGTGTATTACCGCAGATGGAAGTTATGGAACTTGTCTCGGAGCGTCGGACTGTGCACAGCGAAGGGGAACGGTCAGTGGTCCATGCGCTCGCGGTTATGGAGTTTGCTGTGTTTGTAAGTAATTTTCTAATTGCTTATAAATAACAGTATATATTAAGTCTGTTTTAGACTATAACATAAAATGATATAAGAAAATGGTATAACAAGAACTTACATGAAATGATTGTGTACAATATTAATATAAGAAGTTTTGTGTATTACATTGTCACATTTTTCTATAAAAATATGTTATGTGATTCTGCGCATTACATGCTAAAACAGTCCTTTTTTTTTAAATTATTATATTGATGTACATGTACTGTTAACCTCAATGTTCTTATTCTTCTGTTTGCTATTGTAAAGTAACCTCATTTTCTCCAACATTTAACCTAGTTTTTTACCCACGTAAATACCTCGTTCGTTTTACTCTCGTTTTACTTTTGCTTTAACAAAGACATATATATTTATCCACAAGGAAAAAATTCCTGTAGCTGGCTATATACCACGTATCACAAAAAGAGGTTAGTCTTTGTAAATGGGTATATTTATTTTAAAAAAACCCTTAAAAGGGCTACATCAATAAAACAAACGTTTTCGGACCACACAGTCCATCATCAGGTTTTAAAATCAAGAAATGCCTAAAAATAAGTATAAACCATTTAGTTGAAACAAACGAGATTATGAAATTTTGACTATGGTTGAAAAGCAAAAGATGGTTATACTTACTAGGTCACAATGCCTGAGCCACCAAAATACTATGGTAGGTAGGGTAGGGTAGGTAGGTAGGTAGGTAGGTAGGGGTAGGTTTTTTACCCTACCCTAGTAGGTTCTACCTAACCTAAAATCGGTTACAGTAAAAGTAAAAAGTGAAAAATATTTATATGAAAAAAACTTGCCTTCACACTTTATCCAGGCTTAGGACTGGCAGCAGAAGCTGGCGTGTTTACAAGTTTTTTTTATTTTTTTTAAATTTTTTGCATTTTTTTTTTGGAATTTTGTTGTGATTTTATTTTTTTTTTGTTTTATTTTTGATATTAATTTTTTTTGTATTTCTTTTTATGTTTGCAACTGAAAATTGTGAGCAATGCCTCTCAAATATTCTAAAGTTGGCCTGTCAGCATAATCGGCAACAATAGCCCTTATCCTGTTTGCTGTATCTTGATATTTTCTTTTGCGTGGAGGTACATTGCCCGAAATGTACTGCTCTATTTTCAAAACATTTAAATCATATTCTTTTTTTAGAGAATTAATAAATTTCCAAATATTCGGATGTGCACTATTAAGAAGAGAAGAAAAGCTGTTGTGCCATCCTTCGACAGCATTATTAGTTCGAGTAGATCTTGGTCTGCCAAATCGTAACAATTCCACGCATTTGCTGGAAAAAGGGGTTATCTTCGATTTCCTCTTCTAGCTAATCTCCGTATCCAAGTGTCTTCAAAGTAATTAATCAGCGGCACTAGTAGTTCTTCATTTTGTGTATAAAAATCGCTATTGAGCAACTCCTCGTACACTCTGACTACATGGTTGTCTGGAACAAACGCAAGAGCTGTCAATTGTCTTAGGTGAAGGGCGAAGTCAGGATTCTCAATATATCTACGTTGCAATCCCGCACTTTGAATATGGCGCCACATACACTGCGAGAAATGAAAAAAAACATCCGCGGATTCTCACATTTGGAAACTCAGTTTGTGCAGCATTCATTGCCACTCTTTCAAAGTCCATCATTATTGTTAGAGGGCGCAAGGCCGGATTCAACACCTTTAGTTGCTGAAAAACACGTGTATAAGTCTCTTGTGTTTTGTTCGTTACAAGTGCAAATACAGTCGGGATTACATTATTGTATCGCACTCCATGAATTGTGTATATTTGAGAAAACAATGGTGGTGCTGAGTTAAATGTTCCATCGGCATACCTATGATCGCATTGTTCCATAAATCTTAAATTTCTTTGTGTTGCAAATAACAAAATACGTTCTTCTTCTGGCCCGCTATCAAATAATAAAAAGAGCTCACCGCCTATAGTTGTTTTATATTCTTCAGGAAGCACAAGTTCTTCTAAATTTCTCGGATTTGCGGGCGTACCTCCTAGCTCGTTCCGAACTCTTTGCACAGTTTTTTTAAGACGACACTGATGGAAGTTGTGCCGTAGCAGCTAAGGAAAGTCCTTGAGAAATTTCACTTACTACACCTTGGGTGGAGTGTTCCAGTTGTTGTGCAACTTCTTTCATCCGGTTACAAGCTTCTTTTGCTTCAATCTTTGCCGTGTCTGCAACGTGATTATGTTCTGTGGATTTTGTAATTTCATCCATAACGGTATGCACTCTTCCTGTACATTTGCACTTATTATAAGTAACACACTTCCAAATTGTCTTTTCACCAATCACTCGCTCTTTTTTATGGAGAAATCCATTATAAAGTAACAAGTTGTTGCCTTTTTGGCTTTTCATAAACGCTAACACCATCTTAACAGACTGATATCAATTTGTAAAATGTTTTCTTGTTAAGACAAAATAAATTACCTACTGCGACAAGTTTCCCCTATATAAACAATTTGGTTAATGATGTTTTGTTATATCGGACCTTTTGTAATATTCATTTCTTAAAAACAATTATCAAACAATTAGAAAGTTTTATTTTCTTACTAATCGTTTCTATTTACATTACCTGCGGAATTACCAACCTTCCGGTTCGCGTTAAACCCTCATTAGACCCCTTACTGGCTGGTACTTGGGTTTTTCTAATCCCATACATAATTCTGATAATATGGAATCTAACCTGTTTTAATACCAGAAATCTTGAATCAACATTATATTTATTATTTTAATTAAGATATTTTAGTCCTAAGCCTCGATAAAATGTGAGGGCAAGTTTTTTTCATATAATTATTTTTCACTTTTTACTCTTACCGTAACCCATTTTAGGTTAGGTAGAATCATTTTCTGTAATAACATATGGGGATAAAAAGGGGGTAATGGCTAATGTCAATTAAAATAAACTATTTATAGTAATTCATTAATAATATGCGTCCTTTTTTCCATGCGTCCTTTTTTCGCGCGTCTTTTTTTCCGCGTCCTTTTGTCGTAGATTCCCAAAAACTAAATTATTTTTTACAGTGTACCGATGTCTTTTTTATGTTAGATTTGTTAATGAAACTTTGTCATACATCACATTTTAAAACATTACTTCGAAAAGAGAAAGATATCTTTATTAATACCAAAATAAAACGTTTTTTTCGTTTCCTGTAAAATTAACATTTCTGGAGTTGTGGCCTTTTCGAAATAACCAATTCAATTATAATCCTATTATAGCAGAAAAAAAATATGTATAGTTGTGTTGCACTAAACAACATATCAAATTTTCATAAAGATGAAGTTCCAGAAGAGGATATAACTCTCAGTTCCAGAAGATGGTTTAAAACCAGATGTTGAAAATGACCTTACTATAATTGAAAATGTACCAGTTGACCAAAATTAGTACAAAAGAGAACAAATCTAAGATGCAGTTACTCAGAATTATTTTAATAA